GCGAGGAAACTCTGCCAGGACCAGCCTCAGGCAGGCTGCCACCATCGATGCCAGGAGAAAACCTTGGAGCGGGGCAGGGCACGCACTGTGCCAGGATGGCACCCACCACATGAGAGGACAGCAGGTGGCACCTTCCAACCAAACTGACCCAACCTGCTGGGTGCGCACACAGGACGTGGGGAGAGTCCTCTGGGTGTAGGAAGCAGGTGCCCAGGGAATCCGGGCTACACCGGGGCACAGAGCGCCAGAAGCAGGACTCGTGGGGGCTGAAAATATTCTGCTGACCACTTTCCCTTGTGTGTTTCAAGGTGCTGGGGTGCGGGGGTGCTGGGTGCACACTGACCCCTGAGCCACAGTGGCCCTCTGCTCACTCTTTCAACCTCTTAAAGATATCGACATCAGGAAAAGCAGCCATGCAGTGTGGGGCCTGTAACCGAGCTGTGAGATGTGCATGAAGATGTCGGAAGCCCTGGGGGAGGAAAGGCAGCTCTGGGCTCCCATTCTGATTCTGGTGCCTGCGGGAGAGGCTGCAGGGAGCAAAGATCGGTCCTGAAACCCCAGGGTGGCACTGGAATCACGGAGCACAGCCGCAGAGCCAGACAGCAGCACACAGCTGAATCCCAAACAGATCAAAAGAAGGCAGAAAGAGAAGAAGGAAGGGACAGAGGCAAAGAGGCCAGGTGGCTTGGCAGCCTCGCCAGCCCTGTGCCGTGAGGGCCGGGCATCCAGGAGTCTCAGATCAGCTCAGCTCCCCCAGCCCTGTCCAGACTCGCCCTCAGGCCACATCAGGGCCCCTTCCCCACCCGACTCTTGGTCCTCACTCTACCAGTTTCTCCCAGCTGGCTCTGGGCTCAAGCCCCTTGGGTACCCATGGGGCCTGCCCGGGCCTGCCCTGGCCCTCCCTGGTCCTGGCTGCTGCCTGGAGGGCCCATAGCCTCCTCTAGCCCTGAGCTGCTGGACCCTGGCTCTGGGCTGCATCTGTCTGCAGAGGCCATTGGACTTGTGCTTCAGGGCCTCCTGACCCCTTCACCCCCTGTGGGGACTGAGGACTTGTGCCCCCAGCCCAATTCAGGTGGCCACCACCACCTGACCACAAGCTTTCAGGGCCACAGAGACAAGGCACAGTCCTCCCAAAGCTCCCTCCCCATTGCCCAGGGGAAGGCCGGCACTCCGGGAGGGCCAAAGGCGCCTGACAGCCCAGCCACGCAGGGCAGTTCAGTGTGTGCCGCAGGCAGCGCAGGGGGCCAGGCCCCAGGCCCCAGCCTGCCTTATCTGTTTGCTTTTTATTCAACATCCGCTTGTCAGTACAGGAGCCAGCAGGGTGACGCTCTCTGTGGTCACGCAGCCGTGCCCTGCTGGCCCTGGTTGGGGAGCCTTGGACTCGGCCTAGGAGCAGGAACTGGGCTGATATTACCAGGATATGGGAGCCCAGCCCCAGGGCCTGGGCTCGCCCTGGGGGCCCGTTAGGGAGAGCCTGCGCCCTGAGCCCCTGAGCTCCTCCAGGAGCAGCCTGGATAAGGGCTGTGACCCCGGGGGTTGGTCCAGAACCTGAGCACCAGGGTCCATCGAAGGGCATCCAACGGATAGGCCATGCTCCTCCCAGAGTGGACTGGGCGCCTCACCCTCCCATGGGGTGGGGACAGAGAGGGGGAGGAGGTACGGGTCGGGGCAGGCAGTGCCGCCTGCACCCATCACGGGGCTCTGAAATCACAGAGGGCACCCTGGGGGCTTACCTGAGGTTGCAGGTGGGTAACGACCCTCCCAGGAGGGGGGAGCTGGCTGCAATGTGTCCCCTGGCCCCAGCTAAGCCCCTGCCTGAGGGGAGGAATAACTGGGCCAGAGCCCATCCTGTGGGGGCTGCCTGGACAAGAGGTGGTGTCCAGTTCAAGCCCACCTTTGGCTCTGGCTGCCCTGATCCTGGCGGGAGGCACAGCTCCCTGGGGGCTCCGCCCACCACCCACTTTTGACACCAGCCCTATTGGCTGTGGTCTCCCAGGCCCCAGCACCGTTACCAGTGGACACAAAGGACCACAGGGCCTGGCCAGGAGGGGCAGTGAGCCCCACAGTAGATCTGGGGGCACGTTCCATCCGGCCGGGGCCCAAGACCAGGGGGAGGGCAGATCACCCCCCAGCCCAGCCCAGGTACCCAGGGACCAAGGCCAACATGTGGACTAGGGAAGGCCCCAGGAGCACCACAGACAGGCAGCTGCAGAGGGCCTTCGGGGGAGCCTGGAGACCCTTCCCAGGGCCACACTCCCCTCCCCAGGCCGGAGCCCAGGGCTGAGCTTGGAGCCTGCTGGATCCATTATCATAGCGGGGGGGGGGGGGGGGGGGGGGGGGGGGGGGGGGGGGGCTCTGCAAGGGCCTCGGAAGAGGCAGGGTCAGTTGCTGTCAGGGGTGGGAGCCAGAGGTCAGGAAGTGGACAGGACCTCCGGCATACCAGGGTGGGAGAAGGCACAAGGGCTGGGGCTCCAGCAGGATCCGGCAGCTGGAGCCACGGTAGCTGCAGGAGGAATGTGGACAGAGGTGCAGGGCTCACCGTGTTCGGGAGGCACACTGGGACAGCCGGGCTGAACCTGTAGTGGGGGCGTTACCTGTGACACTTGGGGGACAGAAAAGGAGGAGAGTCCCTGCTGGGACAGTGACTGCTGCCCAGACTTCACTGAGCAACAGGCCCAGATGGCTACCACATGCTGCGTGCAGGACCTGGGGATCTAGCTCCCACGCCTCCGCCACTCCAGGCCAGGGTCAGTGGGTTCCCACCATCTCCCCAAGTCGCAGGTGCCCACGGGCCAGTCCTACCACTCCCTGACCCCACAATGCTCAGCCCAGGTGGCCCTTGTCCCCCTCTGAGGACTGGACCAGGCAGCCCTGAGCTTCACACCCTGATCCACAGGAAGCCCTGAAATACCCCGGGACCAACCCAGGGTCCACACTCTCTGGTCGGGAGTCAGGACAGGCTCTCCTGGTCACAGCTGGGCCCAGTCCTGGGCCTTGTCAGCCACAAGAGAATTCCTGCTCTGCTGTCAAAATCTGTCCCAAACATGCCCCAAAGCCAGTTCTCAGCTCTTTGATCTGATGTTGACCAGCTGCCAAGCCCCGGGGCTGGGGCAGGGGCTGCTCTTCCCTGTCCTCCCTCCAGGGAATGTCACACATGGCCCAGGAAGGGTCCAGTGGGCAGGAGAGGATGGGAGGAGCAGGCTGACCCATGTGTCCACTCCAGCATTTCTGTGAATGAGAAGCCATAAGCCCTGGGTTTGTAGCTCCCTGGAGCCCCAGGCCAGTGCTGGAGCCTTCTGGAGGACTTGCCCAGGAGGATGTGCATGTCCTTACCCCAGCCCCAGTGCCAGGCAGAGGTCCTCCCACGGCTACCCAGGAGCCACAGCCTAATGGGCAGTACCTCAGAGTGGAGCCAGGAGGCTGGAGCCAAGCACCTCTCCCTGGACTCTGGGGCAGACCTTGCTGGACCTTAGGCCCAATCCGCATCCTCCTCCACAGCCTGCCTGGGCCCTGGGTGACCACTGCTCATGGATGGCCATAAGAGTCAGGGGTCTGGGCTGGGTGTAAGCGTGGACAATCACCCACTTATATAGCCAGCATGCTCCGCTTTCCAGGCAGCGGAACCGGGTCTTATCGCTGAGATTGCCTCAGGAACAATGGCCACATACACTCTTATCGTCCAGCCTCGGAGCTGTGGGCTTGGTGCCCTCGAGCGCTCCCAAGTCAAGAGACAAAAACGCCTTTCAGCAGCAATTTCCTGCCAAACAAGTGTGCTGGGAAGGAGGGGGCCTGAAGCCCAGGCCCGCACCAGGAGGGGCCCTCAGCCAGGGCCAGGATAGCACTGTTGGTCAGAGCTGTCCACCCACCTCAGCACATGCCCTGAATGGCAGAGAAGACAGGACAAACCCCAGACAGCTGCAGACGCAAGCCCAGTGCATGCACACACACAGCCTCACATGACACGTGTCCTTCCAGACGCAGACACAGGCACACAGTGACACCATCCAGCCCCCGCAGACATGCCCTCCAGTCAAATGCCCTTTCCATGCTGGCTGCCCTGATGCAGTGACCAGCCCAAGACCCCAGCCCACCCACAGCTCAGGCAAGGGCAGGTCCCCCACACTATGCGGCTGCTCAGCACAACTGGGCAAAAGTTTCACTCCTTACCCTCAGTTTCCCACCTGAACAGGTTGGCTGAGCATGGAAGAACCCCTGAGCCAGGCAGAGTGGTACAGCCTGTCATCTCAGTGACTTGGGAGGCTGAGGCAGGAGAATTCCCAGTCCAAGGCCAGCCTGGGCAACTTAGCAAGACCCTCACCATCTCAAAAGAAAATATCAAAAGGACTGGGGATGCAGCTCAGTGGTTGAGCACTCCTGGGTTCAACTCCTAACACCAAAAGGAAAGAAAAAGAAAGAAATGAAGGAATGACCCAGAACAGGAAACTCAGAAGCAGAGTCCAGAGAGAACTTCCACCACCAGCCTGAACACTTAACTGTAATTTTATATGAAAGCAATGTTCTCTTTTTTTGCTTTTTGGTTGTGTGTGTGCTGGGAATCAGATCCACGGCCTTGGATATGCCAAGCACACACCTACCACTGAGCTACACTGCAGTCGGACAGAGTCCCTTCCAAGCTGCAGTTTGTTAAGGTGAGCACATGACACCCACTGCTTCCGTCTCAGTGCTGCATGTCCCCTCCAGGGCGGGGGGTGGGCACGGGGGCTGCACTCCAGGGCATGCCCCTTGGGGGTTGGGGGGAGGCCCCGGGTCCAGGCCAGGGGACTCAGCTCCTGTGAGATGAGGTGCTGTCCCATCTGGGGAGGTCAGGCTGAGGCAGTGCTGGGCAGGGGCACCAAACCTGCAGTGGGAGCTGCTGGAGGGTCCTACAGGGTAGGACACAAGACCCTTCCCCAGGAGAGGAGGCACCTGATCCCTGGCTCCCCACAGAGCTGGACAGCCCCAGGAGTGACTGGTTAGAGCCCAAATCCCCTCCTAAGCAGCAAGAGGGCCCCGGGGAGGACCCCAGCCCTGCCCTCATCCTGGCCTTCAACCTCACCATTGCCCTGACCTTTTGTGGCACTGGCACATGCCGCTATCTGCCCCGCCTCCAGATGTTGTCCCAGAAGCCCACCCTTCCTTCCAGTGGGTTGGGCAGCTCTCTGAGGGGGTCCACCAGTGCCCACCATTCGTCCCCATGGAGGGGCTCTGGGATGAAGAGACCCCGAGTCCTGCTCCTGAGTTGGGTGGCCCCTGCCAGCCGAGCTGCTCAGATCTGGGGGATCACCTCGCAGGAGGTGACCTGTCCTGGGGTTCCCCCATCCCACCCCTCAGAGGAGGCCACGTGAGGAGAGGTGTCCAGGTGTGCAGCAACACGGAGACTCCCCTGGGCAGTCCCTCAGGCCTGTCCCCACAGGAGGGAAACTCAGGGGTGAGGGCCCAGCACCTGGGCCACTCTCTGGGAATGGGGACCCAGTGGGGGTTAGGGCTCACCCAGAGCTACCCAGCACCCTGTGCTCCCTGACAGGGCAGACAGGGACCCAGTGGGGAGGCCCCTGGGACGGAGGTGTCTGCAGGACCCTGGAGGGTGTGTCCCCTCCCCTGGGGAGTGGGCGATAACGGGCTGCGGCCGGCCGCTGCAGAATTTTCCAAGAAAGGTCAGGTGCTGATAAAGTGGAGGCTGAGATCCTGTTTGGCCACTGCGTGCCTGGTCAGCAGTGGCAATTACGGCAGAGTGTGGGGCACGGGTGGCGCAACAGGGGCAGGGCCACCACCCCTACATAAAGCATGTGGGACTGGCACTCAGGCGCAGCGCTGGCAGTGGCAGGACGGCTGGGAGCCCAGCAGAGGTGCCCGGCCAGCAGTTCCTCTCCAGCGGCGACACCATGCTGGGGCTCTGGCTGCTGCTGCTGCTGCCCCACGGGGGAGCCCTGCTCAGCACAGGTGAGTGGGGGCAGGCAGACCCGCCAGAGGGCCGGCGCCCCACGGGCCCTACACGTGGGCGAGTTCCCAGGTCCTCTTGCCTGGCTGACTCTGCCGAGGTGGACTGACCTGCAGGTGCTGATAAATGGGAGCAGGAGGAGCCAGGTCTGCAGGTGCTGCCTCCCCATGGGCCCACATGCCACTGGGTTCTGTCCACCTCCTGAGGACCTGGGCACAATGGCCAGGGAGGGTGCAGGAACAGGACAGGGGTCCCTTGGGCACAGCCCCTCCAGGAATGTGGCACCTGAAACACAGCAGCTCCAGACGGGTCAGTCTTGTCACCCTCCCGCTCTCAAATCAGCCCTGGTCTCTGGGGCCTGAGGGTAGCCAGCAGGTGTGGAGGGCAGGGACACAAGTCCCTCCATCAGGGAGGCTCATGGCCAGGAGAACAGGACGGACCGCAGAATGGGCCCCTGCCTCGGTTTCCCCTTCTGTACATGTGGGGAGCTGCCTGTCCACTGCCTGACTCGACCACTGCCCTTCAGCAGCAGCTGGGAGCCTGCTGGGGGTGGACAACAGCTAGACAGAGGGCACCCTTGGGGCTGTGCCCAGCCTGGGGCCAAAGCACTGGTCAGTGCTGGACTCAAGCAGTGTGACTCCCTTCTCCCAGGAGCCCCATCCCCACTGACCAGGCCTCATCTGTCACGCCAGGGGCAGTGCTGAGCCCCACAGTGAGGGGCCAGGGCTCCAGTCAGGCCATCTGGGACCCCTGCCCCCCTCACCCAGCACACCTGGCAGGAGAAGGTGTGGGGTGGAAGAGCCCAGATGGGGTCTAGGAGGGGAGGGTTGGGCTGGGAGCCCCCCCAGTGGGCATTCTTTGTGCACTGATTGTGCACAGACTGGGAGAGGGCAGCGGCCAGCAGAGCATGAGGTCAGACAGCAGGTCATGGGACCTGGGGCTGAGGGAGGCCTGTGAGTCAGCCAGTTAGCCCAGGCCCTGCAGGGGTGGCAGGCAGGGCCACCACGCGTGCACAGGAACAGTGAGTTCTCCTCCGCCCCATGACCTGCCCAGGGCTGAGATGCCTTGGGGCCTGGCGTCGGGTCGGTCGGCAGGAAGCACAGAAAGTCCCTGAAGGAGAGTCCACAGCACCGACGGCCTCCTGAGTTTCTTCCAAGGGACCTCTGGGGTCAGCGCCAGGTCGTCAGAGACAGAGGCTCAGTGAGGCTGGCGCCTGGCGCCTGGTGAAAGGAGGGGCTTGGCAGGGGAGCGGAGCCACCCACAGATAGGGACAGGGCCCCGGGGCCTGGCAGACATAACAATGAGGGGACTGGGGGCCATGGAGCCAGACACAGGTCTCGGGCAAAGAGGGGGTGAGAACTGAGCCTTTGCCATTGGCACCATACAAGGTTAGGGTGGACTCAGACGTCACCGTCCATCTGAAAGGTAGAGGACTGAGTCACAGAGGGTTTTGCCCAGTGCAGACTGACCAAGGTCCCCTACCTTCAAGAGGTGCTGTCCCTGGGGCACCCTGGAAGGGAAGACCAGGACCTAGGGCGGGGATGGGTGAGGAGTGGGCACCAGCCTGCGCCCAGCATGAGCCTCAGATCCACAGGGGAAGGCAGGCACATGCCACTGCAGCCGAAAACCACCTTCAGGGCCGGGGCCAGCGTGAGTGGGCCCACACCCGCCCAGCCTGTCCACTCTCCAGGCACTCAAACCTGCGCTCCTGCCAGCCAGAGGACTCCCCCAGGCTGAGGCTCAGTCCCTAGGGCCAGACAGCCTCTGTGGCTAGGTGCCTCTGCTCAAGCCTCAGCCACACCACCCTTAGCCACCCAGCTCAGCTCCCGGGGATGCCAGAGATGCACACACTCTGGAGGTGACTAGCAGCAATGGGAGGGGCCACGTCACCTCCCAGAGCTTGGCAGAACCTGGGTTAGGGCTCCGGGTGGGGAGTGGGAAGAAGGGAACCCCCCTGAGCTGTCTCAAGGGATGCACTGTGTGCACCCAGCTACTCAGCAGGGGGGAGCCAAGGCAGGGTCAGGCCCAGCCGGCATTCAGATACTGCCATGGCCCAAGGGAGCCACAGGAGGCCAGGTCCCCAAGATGCAGGGTGGGGGAAGAGGGAAGAATGTGCGTCAACCTGCCCCTTGATGAGGGAGGAAAGGGGTTGGGAGCCAGGAGGCAAACCCACAGGGAGGGCACCCTCACAGCCTGCAGGAGATAGGCTGGCCATCTTCCCAGCTTCCCTACTCCATGGTCACCATGACCCATGCTATTTGGGCATCTCCCTGGTCACAGTTGCCAGTCCAGGATCAACCCAGGGGGCTGTCTTGGAGGCTGCCAGGCAGGAAAGAGTCAGGAAGACGGATGAGCTCAGAGCCCCAGGAGGGCAGACTTGGCCCTCGCTCAGCCCCTGGGCGGTTCACAGAGCTGGATGTGGCTCCCCACAGGGACACCAGGAGTCGTGCTAGGAACAGCAGGATGTAGCCAGGCAGAGGGTACAGGGGACAACCCGCTCTATCTCCACCCTCATCACCTGCTTCCCAGAACACCCCATGCCCACCCTCCTGGCCTCGCCCACCAGCTCCAGCGGCCACCCCACCCCAGCTGCCCAGAAATCTCTGTGTCCTGTTCTCTCTGTCTGCAGACACACAGGAGGGGCCCAACTTGTCTGGGCAGCAAGTGGTGAGGGAAGCCTGGCAGGCAGGCCAGCAAGTGTCCTGGCCAGAGGATGCCAGAGAACCATGCCTGGGGGCTGCTCTGCCCTGAGGCCCAGAACTGGTGGCCCAGGGCTGCCCTGCTGGCTGCTCCACTTCTGCCTCCCACAAGACAGAGAGTCCCCCCAGGAGTCACTGGGCACTAGAGCACCCAGCTCTGGTCAGAGGTCACCTCCTCAGAAGGTCACCCTTCCCCAGTGGTGGTAGCCTCTCCCCACCCAGCACAGGCTGGCCACCCTTCCATCTGCTCATGGTGGCCGGCAGCTTTTGCAGCACTGTGTGCTCGCATGAGCAATCTCCTGCCCAGGACTGGTCCATGGAAGCACCTCCTGCCCTGTGCCCCTGGCTGGGTCATGGCCCAGAACAGGGGCTCCATGAAGACAAGTTGAGCTAACGCTGCATAGATGAACTGAGAGGAGAGGACAACAGGAAGGGACAGGACTGGTGCAGGCCACCCAGAAGACAGGCTCAGGCTGGCATCCCCCACCCCGTCCTCCTCAGGGCTGCTGTGCTGCCCACAAGCCGAGTGCTCCCTGGGTCCTGGGAGGGCAGTGCTGGGCACAGCCAACAGGGATGGCGTGGGGGCTGGCACTGACCACAGGGCACAGGTCTGGACGCTGCTTCCTTTGCTACCAGGCCTCTGCCCAGAGTGCAGGCTTCACTCCTGTACCACACAGGCAGGCTCACCAGCGCATAGCCTATGTGACAGGGCCCAGGCCACTGCACGCCCTCGCCTGGGGCTCCCAGAAAAGCCCCAAGCCTCAGAAGAGCCACGGCTCAGTCTGGAGCCAAGGGCTGATGCCCTGGGCAGCTGCACCACCCCCTGCAGCCTCTCCCTGCCAAGACCCCCTGGGTGAGCCCACTGCAGGGGGGCTGAGCAGCGGCCTCCTGTCTTACAGACCCCACGACGGGAAATACCACTGACCCCAACGCTGAGGGAAGCCTACAGTCCAGTAAGGCCCGGGACGGGGGGTGGAGCCCCGCCCCAGGCCAGCAGCCTGGGAGACAGTGTCCACGGTGTGGGGGGAGGCTTCCAACACACCCAGAAAGCTACACCCCTCCCCGTGTGGGCTCCCAGGGTCCTCAGTGGGGCCATGAGCTGCAAATTGCCCTCCTCTCTGCAGCCCTGGAAAAGGGCTGGTGTTCCTCATGGGGGGCTGGCCACTTCTCCACCTTCGACCACCATGCCTACGACTTCCTGGGGACCTGCAACTACATCTTTGCGGCCAGCTGCCAGGGTGCCTCACCTACCTTCAGCATCCAGCTGCGGCGAGGGGCGGACGGGAACATCTCTCGGATCATTGTGGAGCTAGGGTCCTCCGTCGTCACCGTGAATGAGACGACGATCTCCATCAAGGACATCGGGTGAGCCAAGGGGCTAGGCCAGGTAGTCAGGGTGAGCCATGGGGCCAGCTGGGCAGTTGGGGCAGACACTGACTGCTCTCATCCACAGGGTGGTCAGCCTGCCCTACACCAGCCAGGGGCTCCAAATCACACCCTACGGCCAGAGTGTGCAGCTGGTGGCCAAGCAGGTGGAGCTAGAGCTGGTGGTCATGTGGGGCCCAGACGCCCACCTCATGGTGAGGACTGGGGGCCTGGGCAGGGGCACACGGGCCCAAGGTACAGGTCTCAGGAGGAGCTGCCCTCCTTGGGCAGGGGTCTCAACCTGCTCTGACCCTAATTGGCAGTACAGCCAGGCCCTTTCTGCCAGGCAGCACTGACCCCTGGCCAGTAACCTGGACTGGATCTAGGTTTTCTTGGTAGCTGTTTCCCCCACTTAAAAATAAGGAGGATCCAGCAAGAGGTGGAACCCCCGAGGGGGAACAAGGTGTGGGGATGGTGGGGGCCCGGGGAGCAGGAGTGAGTGGCCCGGCCGGCTGGGCAGGAGCCCCTCCTGCACCCCATGGGGCCSAGCAGCACCCACCCTGCAGGTTCTGGTGGAGAGGAAGTACATGGGCCAGATGTGTGGGCTGTGTGGGAACTTCGACGGGAAGACGGACAATGAGTTTCTGAGCGAGGATGGTAGGTGGGGAGGGGCAGGCAGGGCTGTGGGGACCCAAGCCCACTTGGCTAGACCCCCAGGTGTTGACCCCCACCCCATGCCCTAGGCACACTCCTGGAGCCCTATAAGTACGCTGCACTCCAGAAGCTGGATGACCCCAATGAGATCTGCACCTTTGAGGCCATCCCCAGGCCCCCCGTCCTGCAGGCTACACATGTACGTGAGGTGGCCAGGCCCTGGGGCCATGCTGGGGCCAACCCTCAAGGGGTCTGATGGGGGTCTTGGAGCCAACAACCCCACCTTCCAAGCCCCAGGCCTGGTGTGGGAGGTGCCCTGGCCTATGTGACCCTGAGTGGTCTGCTGCCCAGGTCGGGAACTGCACCCAGCTGCTGACCCTGGTGTCCCCTGAGTGCGATGTGCCCAAGAAGCCCTTGGTGCTGAGCTGCCAGGTGGACATGGCTACATGTGCCCAGCCGGGCCAGCAGAACTGCAGCTGTGCCACTCTGTCAGAGTACTCCCGCCGGTGCAGCATGGCACACAGGCCTGTCAGCAACTGGCGGGGCCCCGGCCTCTGCTGTGAGTCCCGGGCGGGATGGGGCGGGGCTGGGGGAGCCACAGGAAGGCCCCCTCCTGGGTGGGGTCTGGGCTGCTGGCTGGGGTGAGGCCTCTCACAGACCCTGTGCCTCCTAGCCGTGGGCCAGTGCCCAGCCAACCAGGTGTATCAGGAGTGTGGCACGGCCTGCATCAGGACCTGCTCCAACCCACAGCACAGCTGCTCCAGCCCCTGCACCTTTGGCTGCTTCTGCCCCAAAGGTGAGGCAGGTGCTGGCTCCCACTGTCCCCGACACCTGGAGATGAGCCCTGAGAAGGGACAACACACCCCGCCTGACTTGAGCACAGACTTTCTGCAGTTGGAGCCCCAATCCCAGGGCCCCTCTGCCCAGCCCCAGACCTCACAGCTCCTACGGACCTAGGAACCCACACTTGCAAACCCACAGGCGTGAGTGCGGCCCAGGGGTGGGGGTCAGGGGGTCCCAGAACTGCTGCGGATAGGTGGGCTTTCAGGTGGGCCTGAGGCAGTTATGCATCCGAGACTCGCCAGGCCTGCCCCTCACCTGGGCCTGCACCTTGGTAAGGACCAGCAAGGCCTGCGCAGGATGGCCAGGGAGGGAGCATCCAGCGGGAGGATGGGATGAGGTCAGTCCCACCCAAGCCCAAGAAGCCACTTTCTGGCAGGAATGGTACTCAATGACCTCTCCAACAACCACACCTGCGTGCCGGTCAGCCAGTGCCCCTGCCTGCTCAACGGAGTCGTCTACAGCCCTGGGGAGGTCGTGAGGGCTGCCTGCCAAAGCTGGTGAGTACTGGGGAGGGCCCCTGCTGACCTGGAACACAGGGGAGGAAGGCCACTAACAGGGTCACCCCCTGTGGCCCCGCAGCCAGTGCACCATGGGCCACTGGACGTGCACAGGGCAGCCGTGCCCAGGCCACTGCTCTCTGGAAGGCGGCTCCTTTGTCACCACATTCGATGCCAGGCCCTACCGCTTCCACGGCACCTGCACCTACATCCTCCTCCAGGTAGGACGGGCTTCGGGGCTGGTGGGGAAGGTGTGGTCCCTCCACCCCTGAGCAACCTGGCCCCCCACAGAGCCCCCAGCTTCCCAACGAGGGCACGCTCATGGCCGTGTATGACAAGTCGGGCTACTCACACTCAGAGACGTCGCTGGTCGCCATCGTCTACCTGTCCGGGCAGGTATGGCTGCCCCCACAAACAGAGGTGGGCCCAGCTCTTGCCTGCTCTCAGCCCTCCCTGATGCAAGCTGCCCTCCCTCCAGGACAAGATTGTAATCTCCGAGGACGAGGTGACCAACAATGGAGACGCCAAGTGGCTCCCCTACCAGACCCGTATGTCCCTGCCCAGCTCCGGGGCCTCCTGGGCCACGCCTCTGGGGGCAGGCCTGACAGCCTGCTGAGCACCTGCCCTTGCAGGCAACATCACCATCTTCAGACAGACGTCTACCCACCTCCAGATGGCCACCACCTTCGGGCTAGAGATCGTGGTCCAGCGTCAGCCCGTCTTCCAGGTGTACATCACCCTCGGGCCGCAATTCAGAGGCCAGACCAGAGGTGAGCCCCCACCCCTGCCTTGGCCAGGTGGGGAAGGACACACGAGAGGCTGGCACTGGCCCTGCACATGCAGGGAGCCCACAGGAGTGTGGCCACCTGAGGCCAGTAGCCTGTCATGGGGGCACAGCAGGACACTGCTGGGGTGCAAGGGGGCCCAGGAAGGGCAGGTGCACCATGGGCCACTGGACGTGCCTCACGGTCTGCCGTGCAGGGCTCTGTGGCAACTTCAACGGGAACACGACCGATGAGTTCACAAGCAGCGCAGGCATTGACGAGGGCACAGCTGCGCTCTTCGTGGACTCCTGGCGGGCGGGGAACTGCCCGGCTGCCCTGGAACGGGAGATCGACCCCTGCTCCATGAGCCAGCTCAACAGTGAGTCCACCTGCCCTGCCTCCCAGGCCTGGGGCTGGGGAGGGGACACAGGACCCACGGCCAGTCTGTCGCCCTAGAGATGTACGCAGAGACCCACTGCTCGGTGCTGCTAAAGAAGGACGGTGTGTTCGAGAAGTGCCACGCCGTGCTGGACCCCAAGCCTTTCTACAAGGTGGGCCTACAGGCACCTGGGGAGGCAACACAGTCCTGGGCACCTGGGGCCATGGCCAGGGAGAGGAGGTGCCATGGCCCGCCACGGCTGGCTCTTCCCGCAGAGGTGCGTGTACCAGGCCTGCAACTATGAGGAGACCTTCCCGCACATCTGCGCAGCCCTGGGCGCCTACGTGCGCGCCTGCTCCTCCCAGGCGGTGCTGCTCGGGGACTGGAGGGACAGCGTGGACAACTGCAGTGAGTGCAGCAGGCCAGGGGGTGGAGTCGGGGGTGGCTAGGACATGGAGTCCCAGGCCGCTTCTGCCTGGCCGCCCCCCTGGCCAGTGGGCAGCACGGCCAGACCACAGGCCCTAGCTGCCATGCGGAGGGCCTGACCCCAGCTCCCTGCAGCCATCCCTTGCACCGGCAACCGCACCTTCAGCCAGCAGAGCCAGGCCTGTGACCACACCTGCCTATCCCTGTCCAACCGCGAGGTGGAGTGCCACCCCAGCGCAGTGCCCGTGGATGGCTGTAACTGCCCTGACGGCACCTACCTGGACCACAGGAATGAGTGTGTGCGCAAGGCCCAGTGCCCCTGCCTGCTGGAGAGTCACAAGTTCATCCTGGCCGGCCAGTCCACCATGGTCAACGGCATCATCTGGTGCGGGTTGGGCCTGGGGGTGTGGGGCATCGGGGCGCAGGCCCACGCAGCCTCATGCAGCCTCTTTCTTATAGCCACTGCATCAATGGACGGCTGAGCTGTCCAGGACAATCGCAGGTGTTCTTGGGTACGTACAGCTGAGAAGCCACCCAACGGGGGACCCAGAGGCACCCCTGGCCTCCCTCCTCTGAGACCCTAACCCCACTGTCCACTCCTGCAGCTTCCTGCCCAGCCCCCAAGTCATTCCAGTCCTGCAGCCAGTCCTCAGAGGACAAGTTTGGGGCCGCCTGTGCCCCCACGTGCCAGATGCTGGCCACCGGCATCACCTGTGTAAGTGGCAGTGAGAAGCAGCTCAGGGGCCTGGAGAAGGTGGTCACAGGCCCAGGAGGCTGCTCTGCCCTCACCCCTCTGTCTCCATCTCTGTCTGTCCCAGCTGCAAGTGTGGGCTGTGGGCCAGGGGTCAAGAGTAACTCTGTGGCCAAGCAGCTGGATGAGCATGCTCACCTGCAGGGCTCTGTGAGGGCAGGGCCAGCCTGGGGCACCGGGCGCTCAGGCCCCGGGCTAGGGCAGCCTCAGGCAGGCAGCATGGAACCTTCCCTTAGAGAGGTGGCTCTACCAAGAAAGACCCCCGCAGGGTTCACGGAAGTGCCTGGGAAGAAGGACAGGGCTGGGGCGGCAGGCTGGGGCTGCCCTCCAGGCGATGCTGACCCAGCCCCCTCCAGGTGCCCACTAAGTGTGAGCCTGGCTGCGTCTGTCCTGAGGGGTTCTACGAGGATACCAGTGGGCAGTGTGTGCTCCCCGGGCAGTGCCCCTGTGACTTTGCGGGGGTCTCCTACCCCGGGGGTGCTGTGCTCCGCACCGACTGCAAGAACTGGTAAGCCACACCTCACCCTTGAAGCCCAGGTGCCTGGGACCATCTGGACAGACAAGGGGCACCCAGGGTGGGGGACCCAGGGGTGGAGTGTCCAGGAATGGGATGCCCAGAGCTGAGGTCCCCAGAGGCAGGGTGCCCGAGGCCTCCAAGAACCCCAGGGACCTCACCACATGTGGGAAGAGAGCTGCCTCAGCACCCCACCCTGCCCTCTCCACAGCACCTGCTCACAGGGGAAGTGGACCTGCCAGCAGAGTGCCCATTGCCCATCTACCTGCATTCTCTATGGGGAGGGCCACATAATCACTTTCGACGGGCAGCGCTTCGTCTTTAATGGCAACTGCAAGTACACTCTGGCCACGGTAACTGCCAGGACCCCAGGAGCCAGGCGACAGGGACTGGGCTGGGCTGGGCACCCAGGGCTCCTGCTCAGCAGCCTCATCCCTGCAGGATGACTGTGGTGCCAACTCCCAGCCCAGCTTCAAGATCCTGGTGGAGAATGTCGTCTGCGGGAAGTCGGGGGCAACCTGCTCCCGAGCCATCCAGATCCTCCTGGGCGTGAGCAGCGGGACCCCCCACAGGGCAGGAGAGGGCTGGGCCATCACACAGCTAGGCCCCCCTGTCCAGGACCCTCGGGTCCCATCTTCGTTGTGCAGCCCCCCTTCCCACCCCCTCCTCACCTGCATGACAGGGAGGGAGGAGGGCGTGCCCATTGCACCCAGAAACCATTCACCAAGTGGGCATCTTGATGTTCTGCACTAGTGGCTGATGACCACCACCTCCTTCCAGGGCATCACCCGGGCAGATGGGGGGTCTGAGCCTGTTCCCATACTCACTGGAACCTTCTGCCTGGGGCTGATCCCAGCAGGTGCCCCTGCCCAAGTCCTTGATGGACTTGGTCAGCCTTGCCTTATACACTCAGTCCTAGGGCAGCCCCAGGTACCACAGAGGCCAACCAGCAGGCAGCCAGTGACAGCCCTGTCTCCACAGGGCCTGACTATCACGATGGCGGACAGAAACTACTCCATCAGCGGGGAGAACTCCCAGGTGCACGTGCTGGTGAAGCCCAGCTCCTTGAACCTGGTTCTGGACGTAGATATCCCCAACCGGCTCAACATGACGCTGGTCTGGAACAAGCACATGAGCGTCTCCATCAGGGTCCATCGCGCCTCCCAGGTACCTGCCACGCTGGCCAGACACAACCCTGGTCCAGCCAGAGCCCTGTGGTCTCAGGGTGGGGTGGACCAGGAAGGCCGCACGCTCCCTGCCTGACACAGAGTCCCGCAGGACGCCCTCTGTGGCTTGTGTGGCAACTGCAATGGGAACATGAAGGATGACTTTGAGACACGCAGCAAGTACGTGGCATCCAACGAGTTGGAATTCGTGAACTCATGGAAAGAGAGCCCGCTGTGCAGTGACGCGAGCTACGCAGAAGACCCCTGCAGCCTCAACCCCTTCCGCCGCCCCTGGGCAGAGCGCAAGTGCAGCATCATCCACAGCCAGACCTTCACAGCCTGCCACAGCAAGGTGGGCCCTTGGGCACGGCCTTCAGCGCCCAGGGCTCATGACCCACCCTGGCCCAGAGTGGAGAAGCCAAAGTCCTCCCACAGTTGGGGGGTGGACATGGAGAGGGCAGAACCCACCATCCAAGACAGGAGCCCTGCACTGAGGTCCGACTGCTACAGGGTGCTTAGCAGCACCCCAGGCCTCTGCCCTCCAGAAGAGGGTGGTGGCCTCCGACGGTGTCAGCAGAATTCAGGTGGAAAGCCCACTCTGCAGCACCTGGTCAGGGGAGGAGACCTGGGGCTGCCCAGGGTCAGGACCCGGACACTCGGGTTCTCAGGCTTAGCAAGCACAGAAAGGAGGGTCCTCATGGCCCAGGGGCCAGCGAAAAGTCGCTGAGGCCAGGAGCTCAGGGCTGCAGATGCTAAGCCAAGAGCACAGGCAGGTCGGGGGGACCCTGGCCCAGGGGCGGTCTCTGGGAGCAGGAGCGCCCATCAGAATCCTCCCTCGTGGCCTCAGCCGAGCCCCTGCAGCACTGACCTGGGCAGACCTGCAGGGCAGGGGTGGCTGAGCACGGGTCTGCAGCGGCACAGACAGGCCTGGCCCTGGCCCTGCAGGTCTACCGCATGCCCTACTACGAGGCCTGCGTGCGGGACGCCTGCCTGTGCGACAAGGGTGGGGACTGTGAGTGCCTGTGTGACGCAGTGGCCGCCTACGCCAAGGCCTGCCTGGACAAGGGCGTGTGCGTGGACTGGAGGGCCCCAGACTTCTGCCGTGAGTGCCCTGCCCCACCCCCAGTAGCCCCGAGTCGCCCTGCCAACAGAACCCAGACCTCCCACATGGACTGACCGCCGCCTTTCCTCCAGCCATCTACTGCGACTTCTACAACACCCACTCGCAGGTGGGCGACGGCAAGTTCCAGTACACGCAGGAGGCCAACTGCACGTGGCACTACCAGCCCTGCCTCTGCCCTGGCCGCCTGGACAGCTTCCCAGACACGAATGTCGAAGGTGGGGGCACAGGCACCTTGTTTCCTCATGTGTTCACTCATCACTGACACACACACACAATTGTTTGCACGCTCATACTCACACACCCACTCGCACACCAAACCGCACCTTCAGGCACCCACAGCCTCCTTCACCCACAGTCTCCTCCCTTCCACCTGGCCTTTCACGCACTCCTGCTCACAGTCACGGATTCACCACACACACGCTCACTCAGCAATGCCCAGGCCCAGAGCGGGATTAGGGACAGGGCCTCACAGAAAACAAACTGCTCTGACATCCACTCTGGCCAGAGTGTCGTGAAAACCAGGCCAGGAAGCCAGACACTCCGGCACAGCCTGGTCGGGGACAAGATGGGAAGAGCCCAGGAGACAGGCAGGGAAGGGGACAGGAGGGGAAGGGAACAGGAGGGGAAGGGGACAGACAGGGGATTCCAGGGCAAACTAGCAGTGGAGCCAGTTCAGCCAGGGCCAGAGCGAGTGGCCACCAGGACAGAGCCCTGGTACCCAGGAAGGGGGTTTCCGAGCTGGGAGTGAAGTGAGAGGAAGGCAGGGGCTGGTGGGGCTCGAGCCACAGGGGGACCCTGCTGGTGGCAGGGAGCTGGGTGCCAGCTGGTGCTGAGCCTGGCCCTTCTTTGCCCTAGGCTGCTACAACTGCTCCCAGGATGAGTACTTCGACCACCGCACGGGGACCTGTGTGCCCTGCAGTAAGTCCAGCTGCAGGCAGGCAGCGTGTCTACCGGCCACAGATGTGGGATGCCCTGGTGCTCCAGGCCCCTCACAAGCTGCTGTCCAGCCCCAGCACCCACTCCTCAGGGCCCTGCCCCTTGAGGTACTGAGACTCCCACAGACAGGCAGTGTGGCTGTAGACAGCAGAGACAGGGACAGCACGAGACGCCTCTGGCCCCCTGTCTCCTCCACAGACCACGTCCTCACCCAGCTCCAGCTCAGAGCAGAGCCCCCAGGCCTGACAGGGTATTGGGGAGCCCAGTGGGAATCTTCCTGGGAATCTAATTCATCCAGCAAGAGATAGCACTGGGCCCCAGCAGCCGGACAGCTTGCCTCCCCAAACCAGCTGAGCAGAGTGAGGGAGGGCAGGAGGAGACGGGCCGCTCAGCGCCCTGCCCCGGGGTTGCATTCCCCTGCCCCGGCCACCAAGAGCACAGCTCTGCCTGGGCCTGCCCAGGGAACCCCTGGGCGAGGGCTGGGGGCCACACGGCAGTGGCCTCTGACCACCCTCCTCTTACAGTGCCATCCAACACCACCCTGCCGCTGCTGCCGACCACAGGTGACTGCGCTCACTGGCTGCCACAGGGTGTGGGCGTGCTGGCTGGGACTTTCTGGCTCCACCAGAGAGCCCACACACCAGCCCAGCAGGGGAGGGGGCAGGGAACACGAGTGTGAACCCCAGGTCCCCAGGGGGAGGGCGGGCAGAATTCACCTCCGTAGTCCTGCCCACTCAGCCCTTGCTGGACCGGCCACTGAGCATGAGGCAGGGGCTCAACAGTAAGTCACCCAGAAGACCCCACCCGGAGCCCATGCTGCCACTCGAGGCTCAGCCATGCCCTGGGCCTGACACTCCACCCTCCAGCCCAGGGGCCATGGGGCTGGGAAAAGGCGAGACTCAGGGGTGCAGGTCTGCCCCTGCCTGTGCATGAGGGCAGGTCTGCCCCACGCAGGTGCACCACCCACAGAAGTCCAGCCCAGCACAGGGGCCTCCAGGACCACCAGCCCTGGGCCTAGCTCCCTACCCATAGCTACGTACCCCACTGCCCAACCCTCAACCCCTGCCTCCACTGAGGACTGGACACTCTTGACCACACGGATGCCATCGGCACTCTCCTCAGGCGGTAACATGGAGGGGACACTGGAGTATCTGGCGGGTGTGGGGAGGGGTATCATCTGCATCCCACCCCTCCACACACAGCAGACCTCCTGCTGCCTGGGACTCTAAGGGGACAGAGCGTCTAAGGGGACTCAGCTGACCAAAAGCAGGCAGAGAGAGAGCCCCCCACGACCTTGGTCACTGCCACGAGGCCAGCATTTCCAGAAGTGAGGTGGAAGGCATAAGAGCAAGGCCAGGGGAGGCAAGAGGCCAGGGTTCCTCCAAGGAGACCCCACAAGGGACCCTGGCTCACAGGAAAGGGGCAGGGACTCGGGCACAAGCCTATGAGATGCAGGTGGGAACACCAGATGACACTCTGGGTGGCAGTCCTTGGCAAAATCACCTCCAATGACAGCAGCCACCTCTGACCTCACAGCCACACGGAGGTCAACAGCCACAGGACTGACAGTGACGGAAGCCATAACACAGGCCACAGCAGCTCCCGAGAGCCAAGGCACAAAGTCCACAGCTCAGTCCACAGCCAGAACCACAGAGGCCCCACCAAGCTCAAGACCAGGAACGCTTCCCAGCCCAGGTGAGTGGTGGCCGGGAGGTCAGCTGCCCACAGCCACACGTGCCACAGGGTGCCACAGGTAGGCCACACCCTGAGAGAGCAGAAAGGCAAGTCCAGGAACAAGGGACAGCGAGCCCAAGGGGACAGAGGACAGAGGCAGAGAGGAGGGGGCAGAGCCAGAAAGACACCCACAGACATGGGAACTGCGAACAGGTACAGGAGGGCCACATTTAGGACGGCAGACCCACGGGGACACACGGACCACACCTCCAAGCCAACACAGAGGTCCAGAGAAAGAGACAGGTGACCAGGAAAGGTGCTCAGGGTCACACACACTGAGCAAACACCCACCAGCGAACCCTCAGGGACATGCCCCCAGACAGAGCAGGAGGCTGGGGTTCAGGACTGAATGGTGACACCTGTCCTGATCCACAGAGACACCAACCCACCAGGGAACGCTCAGAACGACCAGGAGTCCTGGGACCAGCAGCACAGAGCCACCGGGTGCTCTCAGAACAACATCCCCACAGCAAGAAGCTGATGACACGGAACCCTCCACAGCAGCCACATCCAGTCTAGGGACAGAAAACACGGCCTCCTCCATCAAACCACACGGAACCACCATCCACACACGGCACACGGCCACCACGGCGACCTCAGCCACTCCGCACAGTTCAAACACCCTCACAGGGGGATTTCATACGACCACTGGTCTCAGGACCCCGCTCACCTCTCCAGTCTCCACACTGTCCACCCTCTCTCTCACACCAGCTTCTCATAGCCATACAAGCCCATCCAGCCAAGTGGTCCCCTCTGAAAACTCAGACACAAGTTCCATGCACACATCTCTCACCAACACAGTGCTCACAGCCACTGGACCCACCTACACCTCTCCCCTGGTCACTACGTCTACCAGTGCCTCCCACAGGTCCTTCATCACTTCCACAACCTCCCCTGCCTCCCTGTCACACCTTTCCTCCTCCCCACAC